ATTATAATCATAAGCCATAATTCCTTCTATATGTATATCATGTCGCTTTCCGTCCCTCCGAAATCGTCCAAAGCATACAGTCTACATCGGGTCTGTATACATATATGTTATATACATATAGAGAAAGAGGAGAGCAAATTAAAGTATTTCTAGCAATTTTGTTTATTAATTGGGGCTCGTCATGTTCGTCTGTTTCATTCACGATGTATCCATCCATCTGATGTGTCTACTAAACTACATATCTTTGATAAGTCAGGCCCATTCATCCAGTTGCGTAATTCTAACCAACTTAACTCAAGAACAAACTGACATACACACTACATAAATAGAGCTAATAAACAAACATGAAATTAACTGAAACGAGAAGACACAAAAACTGATCGCACGCCGGTCCCATTCTATTTCCAGGCGTTATGCAAGCAACCACCATGGGCGGCGCTAAGCTGGACAAGCGCTATTCGCCCAGCTTCCGGGACGATGCGGCCGCGGTGCCAGTGCGCAAGATGAGTGCCTCAAAGCGCAAGCGGGATGAAGTACTCAGGTATGTAGAAGCACTACGAAGTCTTGTCCATCATAGACATAGACAGTCAGACAGCTTGCACCTTGCTATACACACACACACACACAGAACACACACAAGCACACAAACACCCACACACACACTTACACTACCTTATATATACTATATATATTTATATATATATTATGTATGTATATAAATCTCACATGACTGAAGCATTCAGCCAAGCAAATGGAAATGAATTTTATTTTTGTTTTAGATTGTGCAATGCATACAAAAAACAAACACGCACTCGCCCCTGTCAGACATTGTTACGGGTATTGGGTATGCAAATATTACAACATTCTATGTGTATGAGATTTTGTTTTTTTTTATGGCCAATCCAATTGGAAACTGTGCCATGATCGGTTCCATTGAAAACGATAATGGTTATACAACTTATTGCAGAACTTTTCGTATTCAACACTTTTTTCTGCGCCGCCTACTCGCCGCCAGATGGCGCCACTGCGTTTTCAATGGAACGGAACATGTCCTGTAACAAATGTAAAGCACAAGGAAAAAAAAAAAAAACAGAAAAAGAAAAACGAAACGCAAACTTCCAGCTTATTTTGTTTTAGGTCACTCATTTGTGCCATCTATAAGGGGTTCGAAGCATTGTACTTTTGTCTCGCTTGATTCCATATTAATCCCACACATCTCGCCTGGATTATTTGCAGAATGAAGGTGCATAAGAACGGAAATGCGGCCGATGTTATTAAGAGCATTTCGCAACTTGACAACTCCAATAAGCAATGTTAGTATCCTGTGCCATGGCTCGGGACCGGGACTTGGACAGAAAACCCCATTTAATAATGTTTATACAATGCTACATCTCTGGAGGCATCCTAACTAATCTCTGTATCTGTGCAAATTTCGCTTCACAGATTTCTTGATGCTCGAGAATATCACATCGCAGTTCCGCAATCCCTGTATTCTGGACCTGAAGATGGGAACGCGGCAGCACGGCGACGATGCGTCCGCAGAGAAGCGATCCAAACAGATGGCCAAGTGCGCGGCCAGCACCTCTGGTTCGCTGGGCGTCCGCCTCTGCGGCATGCAGACCTACCAGGCGGACTTGGAGCAGTATGCCAAGCGCGACAAATACTGGGGACGCGAGCTCAACGAGGCGGGCTTCAAGACCGCCTTGCATGACTTCTTCTACAACGGCTATCGGTTGCGCATTCGCGTCATACGCAAGATCCTGCAGCGACTGCTGCAGCTGCGTCGCGTCATCGAGAAGCAGTCCAGTTACAGATTCTATTCCTGGTAAGTGGCAGAAAGTGGATTACTTCCAGTCGAGAGATATACTAAGAGTCTGCTCTTTCCTCTGACAGCTCATTGCTCATCGTGTACGAAGGCTATGAAGAGAATCCTATGGCACATCCGCCCTCAATGGATCTGGATGATTGGCTGGAGGCGCCAAAGTCGGCGACACTGCAGCCGACAGCTGCCTTCGATTATCACCCGGAGAACAGCATAGACGAGGATGATATTGAAGACGATGAGGCGGGAAATGAGGCAGGCGACGAACTGGAGCCGCACGATACGGATGAGGACTTGCAACTGGTGGCGGCCGTTGATAGCGGCAACGCCTCGGCCACCAACAGCAGCACCGGTGCCGACGGCTGCAACTATGATGCGGATGCATCAAATGATTCAAACTCGCGATTGAATCTGGCCACACGTCGTCATTTACACAAACGCGGCTTTGCGGAGGCGGCGGCACGTGGCGTTAAGCAAACGGCCACCAGCTCCTCAACCACCACCGACGAGGAGGAGGACGAAGACGATGACAGAAACAAGGCACAGCACTCGCACTCGCATTTGTCCGTCATGCCGCCGCCACGTAGCTGCGGTGTCCTGCCCACTAAATCGGTGACCGGCGCCAAGGGCAGCAATGCCAATGCCAGCGCCACACCTGCATTCATTCCAATATCCGAAGAGACAGTATTCCTGGACCCTGAGCCAACGCTGCCCAGCGTGACCACCTCATCGCCACATTCCGGAGACTCCTGGATGAATTACAGCAGCAACAGCAGCGACGACTTCTCTGGCCTATCCGAGCAAATCAAGGCCGTGGCTAGCGGGCGACAGACATGTAAGTGAACTAATGGAAACCATAAGCCCAGAGGAAAGTTCTCATCCTTTCATGATTTGCTCCCACTTCACAGGCAACAACAGCTCCGATGACGGCAGCTCAGACTACGACAGCAGCATTATTGGACCAACGGAGGCCATGTTCAAGCGGTACAAGTCACAGCAATCGTTCGATGCAGCAGCAGCATCAGCCGGCAGCGTGGATCTCACCTCGCCGCCCCACACGGCTGGCAATTCAGGTGCCACAATCAAGTCGGTTGTTTCGCCCGCCTCCTCCAGCGCATCGTCACTGAAATCAGTGAAGGGTGCTGTGAAGCGTTTGCGCTGCAAGGACGACGATGAACACTACGCAGCTCACGACGACTCCCGCGAGGCCAAGAAGTCGACAATAACATCCACGCCCGTTTCGGCCGTCTCCTCGCCATCGAAGTCGCACACGGGGTCGGCGATACAGCGCAGTTGCGAAAACATATCCAACTCGCTGCTCGCTGGCATTCTGCTCGACTCCCTGGAGCGACGCGCCAGTGCCGAGGGCGACAACAACAACACCAAGAGCGAGCCAAAATCATCCACTGCGGTTCGCAACTCGGCGCTAATGCATGGCTCCAAGTCGCTGGACATGTCCGCACCGGCCACAGACGACTCGGCCTGCTTCGTGGACGTGCGTCTCATTGACTTCGCCCACACGGCGTTTGTGCCGCGCAACGGGAGCATGTTGCCCACGCCGCCAGCCACCGCGCCCGTCCACCATGGACCAGACGGCGGCTTTCTCACTGGCCTGGACAGCCTCAATCGCCTGCTCAACGAGATATTGGCCGAGGAGAGTATCTGTATCAGTTGCCCCAATTGAAGCTTCCAGCGGAGCCCACTCACAGCTAGCGTGCGGGGACGGAGAATAAGTTAAAAATAAAATTTAAATTAAAAAAAAGTACAATTTGATTTCAAAAAATTACCTAAATTGTTGTAGCAACATGTGTTAAATTATGAAACTAATCTTTAGTAATTCGAAATGTGATTCAGCTAACAAAAAAAAAAAAAAAAAACAAACAAACAATACAAAAGAAAAAACAAAGAAAAACTAACAGAGAAAAGGAAAAGAGAAAAAAAAAAAGAAATATAGATTTCAATGCCAACATTTTTATGCAAAAACAAAACATACGTTAAGTGCAAGGCAAAACGTACGAAGCTGACAATTGTTCATACATATATTATTTAGGATCTGCTGAGTGTGTGAAATTTAATATCTACAATTTATGTGCAAGTGTATCTTCCAAAAGTAGTAACAAGTTTAATGGTAAATTTACTAAAATATTGATAGATTGGTCAAGCCTTCTGCATTTCCTAGCGTTGAATGAGAAAGAACAACAAAGAAAACTAATTGCGTTCTGACTTTGGTGTTTTAAGTTTGAGAGAAATGAGTATAAAAACAAACAACTATATAAAATATATATATATTGTATTTTAAATTAAACAATTGGCATGCATGACGTGCATTTTTATACCTAGCTATTAAAATACATACATACAATGCAAATGACAAAGCGTAAGAACAGTATTTTGTTATATTTTTCATCTTTGTTTTACAAAGGTTCCCCTTCTAATAGTAGCAATCGCAGTTAACCTGTAAAAGTGAGAGAGGAGCAAGTGAAACTCTATTAACATAAATCTTTAATAAACAAAAAACGCATATACATGTATATTATTATTACTTATTGTATAACTAGAGAATTAAATGAAAAAACAAAAACAAACAAAAAATTAAAAAAAAAAATACAGATATAAATAAACTATGTATATTTTCACTTAAGCACGTTTAAAAATTACAAATGTTCTACTGATTGCAAAATAAACTTAAAATATGAATAAATATGTCAATAAATAAAATTATCTACTGCTGTTTTACTTTCAAGATAAATTTAATGATGATTCGCGGGCAAACATTTTTTGAATTCATTTATAGAAATCAAGCAGTTGCCACACTTTCAAAAGCTGAAAGTAAACAAGCTACTATGCGCTTGACAATATTTAGTACATTTCACATTAACATTATCGATAACACTTTGAAGTCTGTTAACATTGTGTTCATATTGTGACAACAAAAGTGTGTATTTCACCAATTTTATTTCATTTTGTGTGTTTTCCCCATTGCGTATATAATATTTTGAAATAATATAGCTTGGCTAAGGGTATTTTAGTATTTCTTTATTTGTGTGCTCTGTCATAACAATTAAAAAGCGACAAAACCGTGAACTTACTTATGTAATGTGCAGCGCTAGGTTAACAGATGTTAATTCACTTGGCATTATAAGAAAAAAAACTGAATTATAATTTCAGGAAATAAATAATGGGTGGACATGGTCACGGAGAGCCCTACACGGTGCCACATCCATCGTGCTACAAGGTGGAGAATGTGCCGCAATTGTTGAAAGTCAAAGAGGCGCTTGGCCGCCAGGGATTATCCGACCCATGGCTGAGGTGAGCTCTTGAATATATAATAAATATTAGGCTCGGAACTATTTTCACTGCCGTAGGAATGAGGCCTGGCGTTACGAAAAGAAGGCATTTGGCACACACGGCTCTCGCCTGGCTACGTTTATGTTCCGTGGCCTCGGTGTCGGCTTTTGTGCAGCTCTCGCCACCATCGCTGTTGAATATGCCCTGGGAATCGGCAAAGGCCAGGGTGACCACGGACATGGACATGGCCACGACGACAAGAAGGATCATTAGAGCGAGCTCTTTAATTAAGTGATTTAGTTGAATAAATGTGCAAATCATAATGATACAAAACAACATGTTTGGATATTACTCGCAGAACATGTTTGTGTGGCTTAAACTAAAATCGATTCCGATTTCGATTTCTGATCAATTAGCGCGCGGTTTCAGCTCGTCGTAGCAGGAGCGTAGGAATATCTGTGGCTTCTTGGCGGGGTTGAAGTACTCGTGTCCCTTGGACCAGTCATAGCCGACAGCATATGCGAATATTTGGCCATTGGCATTGAAGCCACATTTTGTTATGGATTGATCCATCGCCTCGCTAGATTTGAGCTTGGTGCGTGCATCTTTGTCCCAGAAGCTAAATGTGCCGTCCGATCCAACAGTAACCAGAGTTCCATGCACCGGATGGAATGCAATATCATTAACCGCATAAATGTCCTGGAATCCGGAGGTGCCCGTCGAGCGATGGCACTTGAATGTAAAGTTATCTTTTGGATTCACTGGGTTCACATACTGTATAGCAACACGACCTTCGATGCTGCCTAATGCATAGCCCGTGGGCGCCTTCTTTTTGTCCTTGAATATGGATATGGTACGATGTTGATACTTGAGCGGACTCTCCTGTCGCTTGTACTCGGTGGGACTGTTCTCCAACGAGTAGATGATTAGACCACGACCCGCAGTGCCCACCACAGCCATGGGGTAGTCTACATCAGCGCAATAGCATCGTTCAGGCAGATTTATGGCCATCATGGGATTGGGTGTGCGCGTGTCCCAGAACTAAAAATCGACCATTTATATACAAATTGTTAGGGCTATCATTTTGTGAGCAGCATACCTTGAGCGTTTTGTCCCAGCTGCCTGTCATAAGACATGTGTAATTGGGACCCTTGACCATGTGGCAGGTTTTGACCGGTCCGTCGTGGGCAGCTACTTGCATTACCTGATCGGAGGCGAGATCCCAGAGCTTTACTTGCTTGTCACATGACGCCATGAACACTTTGGTGCCGTCGTCTGACCAGCATACATCCAGCACTGGCCCTCCCATCGTTTTCATAGACTTTGGCACGGTTGCTCCATTTTGTTCCACCTCCCAACAGCGCACGCTGTTGTCCCAGCTGCCGGCAATGAGAAAATTCTTTGGCACTTGCAATGTGCTTGGACTGAACTCGAGTGCTGTTACAGAATCGTCTGGTGGCGATGCTACCTCGAAGTCGTTCATACGATTCGTTGTCGTCTGTGCGGCCCCAAACATGATTTTATTTTTTAAATGTCGCAAAATGTTTGTAATTTAGCGAGCGAAGCGTCAAACGTACTTGCCGAACGTAAGAATAACATGACGCACTTACGTACTACGTAACGCAAACGCAAAAAAGAGCGTGTATCACACGAATATCGTGCAGCACTCTTATGTTAATGCTAACATAACTAGTAACGATAGTTTTAGTTTTAGCACAACAATGAGATATTCAGCCCGCAGTAATTATTGTAAACAAACATATTTATCATTTATCCGGCAATTTTATTTACAGTGAATAAAGTGTATTATCTATGCACATTGCATAACAATAAACTGCTGTATAGTTTTATGGAATGATAGAAATGCTTGGTTTGAGATCATATATCAAGTGGGGTAATATCAGCTGATGCATTTAAGAAACAATTGTTGGAGAAATTATCTAATATTACAATAAAATACATATTAATATAGCGTGTGGCTACAATACTCGTATAATATTAATGAATACCAGCTGTGACGTCTATATGGCTGTGTATTCGATGTTATATGAATGTATGTACATACGCATATGCAAATTTACTTAGGCATACATTGTATTTACATACGAATTTGCAAATTTAACTCCTCCATACCAAGTACATATATTTCCGTGTATGCCATTTGTGCTTTCTTCGCTTTTTGATAAAAATTACCTTATCTACATCGAACTTTCAAATCGCAGAGCGCTTATAGAATCAGATTGCCTAAAATGTTGATAAGTTTTTTTCTTTTCCTATTCAAGGTAAAAAATACAAATTTAATATTATTCTTATCGGTCAATGGATTTTGAAAACAATGGCCTTACTTTATATAATTAATTGTTGTTGTTAATTTGGTTGCTTTATGTGCGTGCACTGGAAATAAAAATCCCCCGGAATAATTTCAATGCGACACTCGAGCGTTTTTCGACACTTTCGACAAAAATACAACCGCAAGTACAATTATATAAAAAAAAAAAAAAAAAAAAAAAAAAAAAAAAATGGTATGATATTTAATGTCAGTGTCTTATCCGGGGTATTTTTGTTATCATTGTCGTTGGCAACAAAGTGGGTCAAGTCATTGTGAACAACAACAAATTGGCATTGGTCAGGCCATGATATGATATGAGTAAGACCTCGATTTTAGGAAACTCGACAGAAAATCCACTCGGGTCACTGTGAATCCCATATCTTGATAAGTACGCCGAAAGCACTGTGTGGTAATTCACACGAATGAACGGGGCTCTCGGAAATAGGAAATCAATATATTTTAGAATGATGTAATATTTTAATATAAGGAGATCATTCATGGAATGATCAAAATCTGTTGCTTCATAAACATACGTACATATAAAATTAAATAGGCTAGTTACACATATATGATGAATGTATTGTGAAGATACGCACACTTATTAAGTGACGTCTAATACTTTTCAATGCCCGATGACAAGATCACGTTAAGCAGTCAGATAGCTAATGCTAATATACTTATATATAACAATAGGAACCATGCGTGCTGGTCATCGTGTCTATAAATCTAGCAGGCAAGTTGCTAAGCTTAAACTTTGGACTTGAGATAGTGGAGTGGGCGTGGCGAGCCTAAATGCTCACATTTATCGCATTCTTAATCACAATGTTGCCGGCGATCCCATTGATTATGGTCAGATTGTTGTCAATCTCGACGTCCAGGTGCGGCGAAGATGGCACCTTATTAGTTTGCGGCGGCGCATCCTTGGCCACCTTTGGCTGGGAGCGAGGAGTGCGCTTGCTGCTGCTGCTGCTGCTACTGCTGCTGCTACTGCCGTGCAACTGCAGTGAGTTGACTACCTTCAGCAACCCATTGCAGCCAATGTAGTCGACCGTCTGCTGCTGGGAGTCGCTGCCCAGGTAGATGCGCCCATCATTGCCCGTATACTTGATGTAGCCAGCATTGTGCTGGATCTTCAGCCTGGTCGCGTTGCCTATGATGTGCAGACTGCCCGAGTTGTTGACGATACGCACGCGATTCCCGTTGCCAATGATGCGTAGATCGCGGCTATTGTTCTCTATGCGATACTCCTTGCAGTTGCCAACCAGATCCTTGCTGCCCAAGTGGATATTCATGGGCTCCGTTGTGCTGCGCTTGGCGCTGCTCGACTTGCTCTTGTGGTTCGTGTTGCATGTGGGACACTCCTCATCATCATACGAATCGCTCGCCGAATCTGCTTCAATTACTCGCACGCCCATGATTATGTGTGTGTGTGTGTGTGTGTGCAAATCAGTATCTTTCCACTGTTAATCACCAGGTGAAAATAAACAATTCACCTATCGCCAATTTTGTGCTACGATTCAGTCACTATGTCGTGGAGACCGTTTTACAGCTCATTGATTTTATGGCTGGTTGCTTCATCTATGTTTCTTGTGTATATCCAATTTGTTGCTGTTGTTTCCGTAGTCAAATTTTCAAACGAATGACGTGTATGCTTCGACTCTATTTAGGGGACTCCCTATGCGCGTGCCTCATCAATCGCGGTGCTTTTTGCTGATATATTATTTATGCATGTATGCACATTTGTGTGTTTTGTTAACGCTCTGGTACGCGTGTTGCCTGGCCGATCGTTGGCTGTGCTTTGAGCGATATCCGGCCCCGAGGGTCGCCTTTTATACCAGCCGAAACGTTCGGCTGCGATCGGCGCGGGGCTTTTTATTTTCGGCGAGCTATAGCCAGGTGATGGTAGTTAATTCAGGTGTTGCTTCTAGTTCGCAACCGTGTTTGTCGGCAGAACGTTGATAAGAAAAGACCGTGAATAATGCCGTTAGATGAATATCAGTATTAAAGAAAGTTAAAAAAAGTATAAAAAAAAAAAAAATACCCATTTACAGACATTCTTCAAAATGTAATCAATCTACACTCACATATGTACAATGGGTTTTCACTTTAGATTTACTTATCTGTGTTGTTATAAATTGCTCATAAATGGTATCAATGCGATTTGACTTATCAGAATATACTATATCTGTGCACTGGAATAGTTCGTTTTATTGACATTATGAAAATTCAATACATCTTTTGTTCTGTGGAGAGAGTTTTGGCAGTTCAGCCATCTGATTGCCTATCAGCAGCAGTCGCCAGGCGTGATTTTCACAAACAGCTGGTAATTATTTCCTACTCGAAACCAGTTTGTTTACAAACAGCATTATTTGCACGTCGAATAAACACACTGCGGACATACCCCGCACATAGTTTTCCTGCGTGGAGAAGAGCTTTCAGTTTCGGCTCGCGACCCTCAGCTCTCAAGGCTTTGCGCGCTCTTTGGCTAACACCAATATTGGCTTTGTATAAGATATTAGATAAACAAAGTTTTATGTAAACTGATTTTCGGTATGTTTGTTTTCTCTGAGGGTAAATCACCGGTCGGGCGAACAATACCATCTTCATGGATTCCCGCTGATTTGTAAACATTATGAGCTTTGTTAGGTCCGATTGCTCCGATTATTATTGGAGGGCGGGTGCTTCTAGTGGGGCCCGTTTTGAATTCAGCAAAAGTTACACTTTTAACTGTTGACAATTCATTATCTTTACGGTAATATTGTTGAATGATTTATGTACTTGTTCATCTATTTATGACTAGGGGGACTTTTCCCTCGGATTGTTATCGACTAGCTACAAAAACAAAATTGAAAAAAATCTAAGTTGAAAAATCAAATTATTGTGTTTATACATCACGTTAAAGCGGCTAATTGCAACAATTTTCAAAACAATTATTAGCCATAGTTGAATCTGCGAGGCTGCGACACGTGTGTATACAAATCAGATAGACACTGCCAGTCCTTGATATTTCAAAGTACTACAACGACGACTAACTAATACAATCAGCAACTTAAAAGAACGAAAAACCCCCATAGCACATCAGTTGCCGAGGCCGAGCGAACCAGCAAAGCCATTAAGCTTCTGCCGGTATCTGCTGTGAGAATAACGCTAACAGGCGTACAGCAATTTGACACCAACGTTTTGTTCAAGCATTCGTAAGCGATCAAGCTAAAAAATGATAAATTTAAACATAAAAATCACCAAAAACCAACTGGTTTCGTCAGCCTTCTATCAAATATTGCCCTTTGTGTGTGCTCGTTTCGTTTAGCAGACGACTGTCATTATTGATATATGTATATACTGATACATATATCAATATTATTTCTGTCGACGCATCGCTAAAATGCTACCCAAAAACACTTGTTGCATAGATAAGCGATAAGCTAGGTGGGAATTACGGATTGACCATAAATGAATTATGGCTCACATTATTTACCATTGCTTACTTAAATTCAATTTACAGTTGCTAGATCAGTATACGACTCTAAATGACTAGTAATAATCAAATGTACTCTTTAATAATCGTATGAACTTTAGTACTGTTCCATATCTGCTATTCAGATCGTACACAATTTTTAAACGCGTTATACGAAATGAAATATTAGTGACTAAAAAATACATATTTAAATAAATTATATAGAAAGGCTACATAATTTTCAGTGGAATCTTGATAAGTCTAAATAGCAAGTGAATAACACATTTACGCTTTTGAGATAAATCAAAAATTCATAAAACGAGATTTAAAATAAATTTATAAATAATAAACAGGGATTTCATTTATGAGATGATGTTTATTATAAAACGATATAAGTATGTACACTCCTTTGTACGTCTTCCTCATGTGTTTTTAAATATTTATAAATAAAAACAAAGCACAATTATAAAATAATAATTGGTAATCTTTGTTATTTTTATTTATTTATTTTTCTCCTATTCTATTTACTAAGTTTTCAAAACTTTTTAAAACCTATAGTCAAAGATACTATCTGGCACATCATGTATGGAAAAAATATTTTAATTCTTGAATGTCTGTTTAACGTTTTTTAGATTCCAACTTTGATTCTGAGGAGTGTTTCTTGTGAAAGTTTATATGTATGTATATTGAATTTTTTATCACTATATATATATAACATTTAATATTGTTATATATAGTTAATTTTGTGTGTATGTGATTTTACTCAATATAATATAATATCATTTCGCAGAGTATATGCACATATTCTAAACAAAAAGTAAATGACCTCATATCACGACTGATTATTTATATAATTAAAATTCATTATCTAATGTGCTGTATAGCAATAAAGCAACAGGCCTTGAATGCTCTGGGTAACTGATATCTGCTATATATTTAGAGATAGTACTCACATGCATTCCAGCAAATTAAAGAGCCAAAAGTTGGTTATAGAAAAATAGATATTGCTTTATTGAATCAACAGCTTTAGAACTTTAACAATGTCTTCGCTTAGTATAACAGAGATTCATCAATTAGTTAAACATGCTATATATATTTATTTATATATGATATGTAGCAAAATTGTACTATACGCGTGTATAGAGCGATGTATATAATTGCGTCACGAGGTTACACAGTCGAGAGATTAGCCTGCGCTTTGCCACATTGAGATTCATCATACAATATATCATGTAATGCGATTGTAAAATTATTTGATTTGCACTTGTGGTTTAGGGTGATATGCGAGATATGAGATTGCACATTTGCCTGCCTTTGGGCGGGAACACTTGATTCGATTTATCACTGAAAACTTTCTAGTTCGGCTTTAAATGGCTACAAGAGAAGCGAAAAGAGTGAAATCAAAAGTGAAATACAGAGTTAAAGACTACAATTAAGATAAAGCCAAACACACTAACATTTGACATTGTGCTGCCCGCCCCGTGCGTCATCTCGTGCAGCTCCTCATCCGTATAGGACAAATTGTGTGTTTCGATTTTATAGCTAAAAGTCGCGGTTACGGGCTTGTGGTCGGAGAGCGTATAGTCCATTTTCGACTGATAAGACAATTGTTGGGCGCTCAGCATAATGGACGGATAACTGTTCGCCTGCACGCGATGCAGTATGCGGTCACACCAAGCCGGACGTCGCTTCAGATTGTATTCGTTGCCACCTTCGTGGAACTTGAAAGTGGGCGCAAATTTGGGCAGTTGCTCCTCCAGCAAGCTAAACGCGTTGCCCGTCTCACGGAGCAGCGTCAACTGGTCTAGCTTCAGCAGCTCATCATAACTTTCATTCTCCACAGCGTTGCGTATATCCCAGGCGGACATCTCGCCCGACAAGCGGAAGTTCAGGTCGCCAAGCCAGAACACAAAGTCGTGATCAAAGATGCGGGGGTAGCCTTTCACATGATACTTGTGGTTGTCCACAATCTGGTGGTAGTCTTCTATGCGTTCCTTCAGCTTGGCATCATGTGCTGCCAAGTGGGAGCAAACAAATACGGCACCAGTGCCGTATAGACTAAGTCGTATGCTCACGGCTCCTTTATTGCCCCATACCCCGCCCCAACCAGTGCGCGTCTCATCTGTCTCGATGTCCTTCATGTGCGGTATGTGCTTGTGTTGGGCGAACATGGTAATAAGGATGCCCTGCAGCTGCTTCGACTCTACCTTAACGTACTCATATTCGCTTAACGCACTGGCCAATTTGAGCACCCAGGGATCATCCTGAAAGATGTTCAGTACCTGATTTGTGCTCACCTCCTGCATGCCAACCACATAAATGTCGGGTAGCTTGTTCTGTGGACAGCTGGTAGTGCCATTTAGCTCCAACATGGATGTCAGCGACAGGTCCTTTGGCGAGTGGGTGCCCACATTCCAGGTCAGAAGATATATGCACAAGTCGGCAATAACAGATGTTGACGCGGGCATTGTGTGACACTGTCGCTAATTAGCTATGATTAAACACTGGTTAGACAACTATGTACGTCAGAGACAAGGTGAGCTAGCGCTGCCGATGATGATTTCACTCTATCCAGGTATGGCCGTATTCCGTTTCGCTGCATCCAGTGGATGCAATGAAAGAATATATCTACAATCGAAGGCGCTTACCAGTGGACTCTTATTAGATTAGCAGCAATTATTAATATTTTTAGCAGCTTCCATGAAGGCCACACGCTATGCTTCTGCTGCTGCTGTTGTTGCTGCTGCTGCTGCTGTGTTGTCGCTAGCTGTAAAACTCACCCACACTGACGCGGTTGTTCAATTGGCATGCATCGTTGCCAGATGTTTGATTTTTAAAACTTAAAAATTTTTAAAATGTTAGAGTTTAATATGAAGACGTGGATGCCATAATACATAAAATAAATAAATAAAATTTTTTAATATAAACTGTTAAAGTATATCATAACGGCAACACTGACTGCCGTCAATGTGGCCAGATGTGTGTGTGCAACTAATATGCTGTTATCTGGCAACTCTAAACGTTTATTGTTTGGTAAAAGCACTGACCAAAGAACAGTGGTAAGAACAATAAATAGAAAGAATTCACTGCAACCACAAACTTGTTTTTCGTAATCAAGAAAATGGTTAGCAGCTTCCCACCAAGTGCTGTGCCAAATTGGATGCACAAACTTAAAAATGGTGCATATGTGTCCAATAAAATACTGGAACGCTGCTTGCTATCGTCCATGTCAGATGGTACGTCGAAAGTGTAGAATTAATGAAGTTCTAATGCCCCATAATGTTTCTGTTTGATTTGGATATCTTTGCTGTTCTTAGATGAGGCCTCTCAAGCGGTAGAAAATGCTATAACGAAGGGTATTTTAGTCCCAAAGGGAAAGGCTACGCGTGCCAAAGGAAAACGTATTTCGCTTTGTTTCTCTCAGAAAATAAGCGAACTAAAACCGGATCCCTACTGCTTCGAGTGTCACTTTCCTGGGTCGGAGCCACTAAAGAAATGTCTATCCTGTGATCGTTGCTTTCATGCAGCTTGTCAGCGTAAAAATCCACATCGTCCTAACTACTCGGTCCCCTCGGACAAGGGACAACCACATCGATTCCCACTAAATGAGTCTGATATGGAGGATTCGTGCGACGAAGAAGAGGTTGAAACGCAGCCAACATCCGTTGTTCAAGCAACTCCATCAGCACAAACTGATCCGTGCGAGCTTGACTACAATAGCAACATCAACGTCATCCCTCGAGATCCGCTGAAACGTGAAGCCGATAGCTCCGATGATGTATTCTTTGTTAGTGAGAAACCAGCTCGGCAGCGCAAACGCCGCAGCACATTCATCAAAAGCGAGGAGGCCCCAAATGAGGCCACCGACGAACTAGAGCTGTGCACACCTTGCCGCCTGTTAAAGTTGGCCGATCTGTTAAATCCGCCACACGTATCGGTCGAAGAGTTAAACTGCCTGCTGGGCTACAGCTGGCAAACGCACCACACTTGGTTGAAGAAGGATGTGCGGAAGTATATGGCAAAGCATTGGAGCGAGCCTGATGCGACAATTGTTAAGAGTGTGCTCTTTCAGAAGGACATTTTGGGCCTGTCAGATATATCTACAAATATTGAGTTGAAGAAGTACAAGCACTTGTCCGAGTTCCTCATTGACCTGCTCGACTTACAGCATAACACTGGCATCTTCTTTGGCACCAACTGCGAGGAATACAATGCAACTAAATGGCTTCTGCGCGACATTACACACGATATACGCGAAATACGCCGCTGCTCCGATTGCTATCGCTATTCAAACGAATCGGATCGATCCCCATTCTGGTTCGCCAAGCCCTGCACGCAGCGTCACGAGCTCGTCTATGCCAAGCAATGTGGATCGCCTTACTGGCCGGCTAAAGTAGAAACTGCAGTAAAATATATTCTCTGTATAATCATATATTCATTTATTCACAGGTTATACGCGTGATATCCAAGAGGACCGATATCTATGATGTGCGATATTTCGGGGGCACCCATTCGCGTGCCTTGGTGTCTGCGCGTGATATACTCCCAATAGATGCGGACATTTCGCAGTTGAACACCAAGTGGAAGAGCACGCGTACGTTTAACTTGGCACTGCGTGAACTCAGGTGTCACATGATGTTGTTGCATCAGCCGATGTATTTGTTTAACTTTTATGCGGATCCTCGTGAAGCTGAAGAGCTTATCAACCGTGCACTACCCCATTGCATGGAGCCGGCTGATGTGAATGTCTCAGCTAAGCGTTCACGTGCTGGCACGCCAGCATCGGCCAAGAAACGCAAAATAACATCCGCAACAACTATATCGCCATTAATATCCAAACGCATACAGCCCACGCGACGCTGTTCCATGATCGTTAGGTCGGAGGCATTTCGAGAAATGTCATTGCATATAGCCCCGTCTTTGCCATCGCTTGGTATGAGAGAACCTTTTGTTGGCTATCATGCGATGCTGCAAGAAGTTTTGTTTCTAAACGAGGAACTGACACGCAGCAAGACTGAACTGGAGAACATGAAGGAGGAGCTGAAGACAGTGAAGCGTAAAAGATGGTGTCAGCACTGTTTGCAAGAAGCAGAATTTGATTGCTGCTTCACTGCCTCCTATTGCAGCGATGAATGCAAAAGACGCGATAAACGGCGTCACCAGGGCACATGCAGCCTACAATCAAAGTCCTAATTCGAATATTGTTTCTTATAAGTATAAGCTAAATCGTCAGACATATTTACACATATATGTATATATACATACACACGTTTGTGTATTATCATATCTATAAAAATTAAAGAAATTTATCAATATTTTAATTTGCATTTTCTAAACAATTTCATAATTCAGAGTTGTTCCACGAAATGTAAACAAACGTCTTGTGGCTCTGCAGCTGATACGCAGCAAAATTGAAAATGTGTTTGATATTGTCGGCTCCGTTTTGCCAGCAACAGCTGCGAGCTGCTTACATTGCGCAGGCACAAAATTGCGCCAACAGGTGGCAACGCTGAAAGCTTTTCGTCAATCAGTTGTTATTCAACGGCAAAGCTTTGCGGTTGTGTTGTCGGTTGATCCGCATTTTGTTTTTGGTTATTTGTTTATAATCGCGTGTTATTTTTCTCGTATTTCTATAATATATGCGTGTGTGTGTAAACTTTCTATATTATTTGCAAGAAACATTGACAGTAAAGGAGGTCAATAACTGTGCTGTGTAATAACGCAGGGTGAAAAATCAATAATTGTAAATTCGTTGAATAACCCCGAATAATTATAAATATACGCACAATCAAAATGCCCCTTGGAACGTTTGATATATGGGATACCCTAGTGCTGGTGAGCATTTTGATAATATCAGCGCTGATCGGCATATACTACCGGTATACGGGCGGCAAGCAGAAGACAACACAGGAGTATCTCATGGCCGATCAGAGCATGACCACATTTCCGGTGTCCTTTAGCCTGATGGCCAGCTTTATGTCCGCCATCTCACTGATGGGTGTCTCCAACGAGTCGTATCAGTTCGGCACCCTATTTGGTGCCATAAACATATCGTATGTGCTGAGCACTCCGATTGCCGCTTACATATTTCTGCCAGTCTTCTATCGAATGCGAACGACAAGTGTCTACGAATACCTGGAACGACGCTTCGGCCATGCGACACGTCTGGCCGCTTCCATGGCGTTCACCTTGCAAATGGTGCTCTATATGGGCATTGCACTCTATGCGCCTGCTCTGGCACTGGAGGCGGTGACGGGCATTCCGCGAGGCACGGCCATACTTGTCCTGGGCCTCGTGTGCACCTTCTACTCCACGCTGGGCGGCCTAAAGGCTGTGCTCATCACGGATGTCTTTCAGTCTTTCCTCATGTTCGCTGCCATTTTTGCAGTGATTGGTGTGTCGGCCATTCGAGCTGGTGGATTGGGAGCCATCTGGGATGTGGCCCAGGAGCGCGGTCGTGTACAGTACTTCGACTTTTCAATGGACTTGACCGTTCGTCACACCTGGTGGTCACTGATAATCGGCGGCATGGTCACTTACCTCTCGCTCTACGGCGTCAACCAGACGCAGGTACAGCGGCTTCTGAGTGTGCACAATTTAAAGAGTGCCCAGTCCGCCCTTTGGTGGAATTTGCCTATTCTGGGCATGCTTAGCTTTAGCACCATATTCAGTGGATTGGCCATCTTCTATTACTACCGCGACTGCGATCCTGTGCTCAATGGACGCATCAAATCGCGGGATCAGCTTATGCCACTCTTTGCAGTGGATACAATGGGTAACTTGGTCGAGTGCAAAATGATTCATCAAACAATTCACGATTTTGCTTCTCCTACTTCAGGTCAATATCCAGGACTCTGTGGCCTTTTTGTTTCGGGTATTTTCTCGGCGAGCTTGTCGACAGTATCCTCGGCCGTCACTTCGCTCTCGGCCGTTACGCTGGAGGACTATCTGAAGCCACTATACAAGGCCATCTTCAAGCGTACGCTCATCGATTCCCAGTCAACGCTGCCCACCAAGATCATTGCCTGCATTTACGGACTGCTCTGCATACTGTTGGCCTTTGGCGCTGGTTCGATGGGTGGCGTGCTGCAAGCTTCATTGACAATCTTTGGCGTTGTAGGCGGGCCACTGCTTGGCATTTTCACCCTGGGCGTGTGCACAGTGCGTACGAATCAGCGTGGCGTACTCCTGGGCTTCTTGCTAGGCCTTACGTTTTCCTTCTGGATTGGTTTTGGCGGACCGAAGCCGGCCCCAACACCACTGCCATTGAGCACCACCGGATGTGAATTGAGAAATGTAACCGAAGTGGCGCAAGCGGTGCAGGCGACAATGTCCGGAGCAGAGCCGCACTTCTTTTGGCTATATCGCTTATCCTATCTGTGGTTCTGTGTCCTGGGCTTCTTAATCACCATTGCAATCGGCTACTGTGCCAGCCTAACGCTCACTCACTTCAACATCGCGGACAACTCTCAAATCTATTTCGATAAGTGCCACAAGCAGCTGGACTATGATTTGTTTGCGCCGATTCTCTCGCGACGCTGGCGACGCCAACAGTTGGCGAAGCAGGCGCATGCTAACCCAGACGAAGCGCTGACAAAGTTAACACTGGCAACTGGGGCCATTTAATAAGCGAAATCTAATTTATTTTAATTGCTAAATGACATAGTATAATTAGCATGAACTGTGGGAATTGCTTGCCAAAAAATACTAGCAGCTGTTTCAGCAGTTGTCGTACCTAAGCGTGCATAACAATGTGACCTACTTGTATACCTGCGTATAACTATAAATGATCAACTGCTAAGGGCGCAAATGAAGTCTTCCATTTTGCAAGAGCATACAACTATATATATATATATACAAATATTAATTGTTAACTAGGATGTGTTAAGTACACGTCTGTATACCTCGTAGGAATAACTAGCTGATATTCAGTGGGTGAACGTAACGGATGCCACAAATTGAAATAGCCTCAAGGATTAGTAATTATGGCGTTGCATTAGGGACTGTCAGCCAAGAGTCTCTAGTGCAGTGGAGTAGCCGGTCTTAGCGGGTTTTAATTGTTATTAGTTTAAGCTTCTTTAGTGCTTTCTTTAAAAATGTACCAAATGCTTATACACCAACCACAATACATATACATATACATATATATATATACAATTGACCCCTGTGTGTAAGAAACGAATGAACAAAGTTGAATTTAAGTTATTGAAAGTTTGTACTTATATAGTAAAATACTTGTATAAATATTTATGTGAAGCAACATTTGCTGATTATTAAAATATTGTTGTGCATTTACACTGAATGCACCAAAGTTATTTAGGCAATTGCAAACTGTTCAAGCGCATTGAATAATTGCTCTGGAATCGAATGTGTATGTAAATTCTATATAAGTTGTATACTATACTATATATGTACATATATATAGACACTATCAACTTTATACGTGCGAATTTTGATAAGCGAACTTTACGCAATCAGCAAGGTTGTTCGATTCAGTGTTCTATGATTTGAAATGAATGGACAATTTCATAATTTTGTTACTCTATATGAACCGCATGTTCAGCTGCTCCAACCCCATATCGTCGAGTGCAAGGTTCGATATAAACGCCAATTGACTGAAGTGGCAGGGCGCAGGGTTAACTTTGCAATTGTTTTGTTTAGAGACAACAATAGAAATGTGTGTCTATAAATTGGCTGCGGCAAGCTCTAATTGATCTAGCCCATAAATCGAAGAGACAGTTTACTCACCCAAATAGAAGGTGGCGACTGCGAGTGTGTGTGTGGAAAGTTTTAGTGAAGCCATAGAGTTCAAAGTACCGAAATTTTGTGTTGACATACATATTTATAAAGTAAGAGAAGAGACGGCGCTAATGCGAAGCGAGAGTCCAAAGTCGAGTGTAAAGCTGGCTGGCGGCTTACATTTCGACTTTAATACAATTCCACAAAGACATGACACATTTGACACGAATGATAAATATAGTTCAGTTATTTTTTCCACATTAGTCGTAAATGACTGCAAGTTCAACGATCTGCACTGAATTTGTATTTAGGTGCGCAAAAGGTTCATTTCACTAAACAATTTCCGGCTTAACAGCTAACAACATAATTATCTCAGTAGATAGATTTTGGTTGATTGATCAATTTATTCCGAATCCTGCTGATTCGCGAAATCGATAAAGATATCCTCGAGCGATGTCTCACTAATCGAATAATGCTTGATTTGCAATGAATTCCGCTTCTGTTCAACGTATCTGAATATTGTGGACCATTTGACGTCTTTGTCGGGTATTACGATAACCACGTAGCCACGATACGAGTAACTCTCTCTAAAATTAGTAAGGGATTAGACGATGGTTGGCAAGAAAGTTATATAAATGTATATAGAGTACAGCTCTTACATGATATAGCAGTCGGGAAAATCAGCCTTGAATTTTGCTTCGACATTTCGGATCAATTCAACATAGTCAGTAAACTCATTCGTACTGATGTGCGAATCATATGCCCAGCTCCTCGAAAATAAGGATGATGATTTTTGTCTAATAAGCGTTGAGGTTGATTTTTTTACATAATCCGTCGAATCTTCCGTCGATATGGGCACAGTTAAGGTCGTTTTCTTTCGTTTTTTTAAATTAGTCTGTGTCCCTTTCGTATTGACATCATCTTCAGTGGACAACACCGTCATTTTAGACATCCACCTAGTCTCTGGAAATTGAAAATTGAAGGACAGATATGTGTTCAGACAATACCCGACCATCGGTCATTAAGACTCTGACCGTCTACATACCAGAATTCATGGTCGATTCACTAGCTGAAAAGAATAAGGCAGAATGTCATCAATATGCTATGTTTCCACGGTGGCCCATTTTCGTAGCCTACCTTCTTTTTCGATTTCCACTTCCGATTCGTGCGAAGAAGAGTCCTCAGATCTAAAAGTGTGATCAGAGTCAGGATGAGGATCAGTGGTGCTTATACTGCTACCATCGCTCACCCTAACAACATTTCCAATTCGGTGGCCACTTGAATCCGGATAGTGATGCCCTTATCGTAGTAATGCTTTATCTGTTGCACAGAGCCGTAGCACTGCAGGCTTCCATTGACCATGATGGCCAAGCAGGAGCATACCTTCTCGCACTCCTGCATGTTGTGCGAGGTGAGCAGCAGAGCTCTGCCCCTTTCGCGCATGTCGCTGAGCACCACCCAAATCTCCTCCTGGGCACTGATATCCACCCCGGCGGTGGGCTCGTCGAGGCAGACAAGAGCGTGGGCCAGCACAGCCATGGCGATATTCAGTTTCCTTTTGGTGCCCACACTGTAGTGCCTGATCTTCAGATCGAGGCTCTTGGTGAGCACAAAGCGTTCGGCCAATTTACCGATAATGACCGGAATGAAGTCCTTCTTAATGCCGCAGCTCAGGGCGGTGAACTTCAACATGTCCCTGCCGGTCATATAGTTCAACAAGATGTTCTTCTGCGGACAGAAGCCGATGTTCAATAGACCCTGTTTGGTCAACTTCTTAATGTTGACCCCCTTTATGTAGATGTCGCCATCGGAAATGATTTTGATGCCAGCGATCATGTTCAGAGTGCTCGTCTTGCCTGCACCGTTCGGTCCCAGCAAGCCGAAGCATTCGTATCTGCAAGAGGTGCATAATTAGCCTTTACCCTATACACATGTATCTTCGTCTGTGAGCTAGAAGATCTTCTATAAGCACTTACGGATTGACCTGTAGGGACACGCAGTTGACAGCCACATAGCGGCGGTACTTCTTAGTGATTCGACGACAGACTAGACTGCAGGCCTTCAGCTCGTCCTCATTTTTGACCAAAATGTCGATATCCATGCGGGCATGGTACACATTATCATCGTTGTCCCGCAGCGAGCACTCCCTGGAACGACACCTGCAAAGTAGTTCAAGTGGATGATGTTGAATTGTCTTTTATTTGTGGCAAACGCAACCAAACCAAACTTGATCGCATATCGCAGCGGCAGCGCTCTCGATGCCAGCATTAGAAGTATGAAAAATATTATTGGGCCTATGATCAGGCAGACGAGGAAATTGTATATATCCAGCGCGGCTACATCTGAAAGTATTGAGAGATGCAAAGAGTACAAAGCTCCGATATATTCACGATACAGTTTCATGCTTTTTGCATTCAACTAAGTTGGAGTCAACCTTACCACAGCACCTGTTGTGCAATTCGCAAAAGGACTTCCATTCCACCTCATGGCAATTGGTATTTACGCTGCTGTTGGTTAATAAGAATAGTACGGCCCCATACAAGGAATAAAGTGGCAGGATCATTAACAGATTGTGAAAATGCTTATAGACACTATCATTTCTCAGCGGGATGAGAAAGGCGGCCAAGAACACTAGAATAGAGTAGAATGCAAACTTATTACTGACTCCAGAACAAAATCTGTTGCCCTTAGCATAATCGGGTAATTTGTAGAAAAATTAAAAATTAAAATATTTATATTGTTCTCTTTCTCTGATTTTCAGGCAAACAAAAAATAAAAGTTCACCGAGGAGGTTCCTTTGAAGGAGCTACGAAAGATTGATTTGAAAAGCTCAAGTCCAAAATGTTGAGATTTGAGGGAAGCTAAAAATTCTTCAATTCACATATTACTCTACTCCTAACTTATTTTGATGCATAGAATCAATTAAATGTAGAAAATTTGGACACCAAATTAATAGATAAATTAATAAATAAGACTAAGAGCAATTAACTTTTAACGGAATTGTCATCCATGAAAAAATTCCGTTAGTTACCAATAGTGCAATAGAAAAGCAGCACGTAGGCCATTCCGCGGCCCGGGTCCTTGAAGAGAAACGATAGAAGGTAGGTAAAAATCAGTGCGGAGATGCCGAATAGCAACAGAAATAGGGATATCCAGCATAGGGTATCTGCTGGATGACGATATAGGGAGAGAAGCACCGTTGTTATAATCAGCATAAACATGCACAAGTCCCACACAAAGCTCGCCAGCCAGTAGCTCCACAGGCTAATGCCGTTCATTATCTGGACATGCCTCAAGTGCGATGCCTTCTCGTAGACGGGCAGCAGAACGAATGCCGAGACCGCAAAGCACAGATAGGCACAGAGGCAATTGGAATAAGTGCGCGCCAGACGATCGCTGTGTGTAAGTAGAACTGACATATCCGAATCGGCACGAGGCTTATTAACGATCCTGATATCCATGCCGGCCATAGCATATGCGACGGCTCTATAGATTAGGCCATGTGAGAGACCAGCTCCATGATTCATCCGTCGATTGAACCACGTCCTGATCGTGTCGTCAAATGTTGCTGCTGCCACATAGGTTTCTGTGAAGCCTTCCTCATCCAGTCTAGTGTTGTTCAATATATATTGCGAGAGGGTTTCCTGCACCACTGAAATCACTGTGGCGCCGGCATCCATGGCTATATTTTCATACGCCACGGCAATCTTTCTGTTATTGATCAAATAATAATCATGGGGATCTTCGTCAGCTGGCACTAGCATCTCCTTAAGGACGATTGGGTTATTATAGTTCGACAAGTCGGTGGGATCCAACTCCACCAGAAAATCTTGTTGGTAAACTAAATGCATAACTGTAAATAGCATTAGTTCTATCAACGGCATCAGGATAATTAAGGTATATAGTATCGCATGGTTGCGAGTATGTCGACACTTCTTAAACATCAGTGCATGCCAGTCATTCAGATTTTTCTTTGATCGTTTCAACTCCCGGTTCGCCATGGGCTTGGTCACCCACGCTAAATCAAAATATATATAAATAGGTACATATATCCAGATGCGGTCCCCTTCTAGTGTCACTTACAATCGTCGCTATCCCCTTCACCCAGTTTGCTACGTCGCTCAACCGTATGTCCACTTATCTTCAGGAAAGTCTCTCGCAATGTGGGTGCACTAACCCCAAAACTGGAGAGCTTCAATGTGTCCATCTGACTCTCCAAGGCCTTGAAAAGATTCGTGAATTTGTGCACATGCTGAACTGGCAGACGATACGTTAGCTCCGAGCCGACAATGTTTTCCAGTTCAACATTTGGAATGTTATCCTTAAGGAAATCGGTGACCTCATCCGCATTGCAGTTTTCATCGGCCACACACACCTGGATGTAGATCCGGGAAGTAGATTCGTGTTGGAAGTAGCTAGTGGCGTAGCATGCCGGACTTACCAGACGATATCCGGGACCCAGACTACTAATAACTTTCTCTTCAGTGCCGTAACAGTACACGTGCCCGTCGCGCATGATGGCGAGGCGATCGGCTAAGACTTCGGCGGCCTCCATGAAATGCGTGACCATCAGTATGCAGCGGCCAGTCTTTTCCATGCGCAGCATGTTCCAGACATCACGGCGAGCGCAAGGGTCGAGGCCACCGGTTGGCTCATCACACAGCACCACCTGGTATATATGGAGTAAGCCGTGAAGAACCTTGGATCTCATCGTTGGTCCACTCACCTTGGTATTGCCGCACAGAGCGCAGCACACGGAGAGCTTGCGCTTCATGCCAGTGGTGAGATATTCAACTCTTATGGTCGACTTATCCAACAGATTCATGATGGCCAGGTACTTTTCGGCCTCCGCTTCCGCCTCGGCCTGTTCGAATCCCTTCAAGCGGCTATAAAATACAATATGCCAATAGGCGCTCAGCTCATCGAACAGGATATTGTGTTGGGGACAAATGCTGAGCGAATATTGACCCGTTTGTCTGGCCGTGGGCAAGTCAAGGCCTTCCAAGGTCACTATGCCGGATGTGGGCGCTGTGATGCCTGCCAGCATCATCAACGCTGTCGTCTTGCCCGATTCATTGTGGCCGAGCATTACAGTGATCTCGTTCTCAAAAAATTTCATGCTAAAGTCGTGCACCACCTCGTTGTCGCCGTATGACTTGGATAAGTTGTGTGCCTCCAAGATGACTTTTTTATTGCGAATCGTTTCGGTATCAAAGATTTCCGATTTGCCTGATACGGATGGGTGAAATACTTGCTCTTCATCTTGAAATCGGGGGCCATACCGTCTCCATGGGCACCAGAACGACTTTTGGCAAGGGTAATACCATTTTTTGGCCACGCCAAATTCGCCAGGATTCAATTGATCCACATACAGGCCGATTAGGACACGGAATACGTTCGTGAACAGCATGACCATCATTGTGGTGCCGATGGTCATCTCGTCATCGGGATGGCTGTACTTAAACATATTCTTCCACTGCAGACCCGTGCCCCGCATCTCGAAACTGTGAATCTGATAGAATATGCTGGGCATGGCGCTGTTCATGAACAGAGACACAATTATTGCCATGGAGTTTTTGTGACGAGCTCCCAACATCAGAAATGGTAGGTAACTAAGGAGCTGCGTCAGGAATAACGAGGTCATCGACATGACGGTGCTGGTCACAAAGGCGGTGATCATAAACGTGAAGCACACCAATGTAAATATGTAGATAATGAAAATTAGCAGCAACACTAGAAAATTGGAGGCCGGACACATGCACCACTTCATGACGCAAACAACAACGATCGCCGGTACAAAATATAGTAAATAGGACACTATAAACCACGATACCCAGTTCAGCGTAACAGGCAGACCCATTATGCGCATTATCTCCCTCAAGTGTCTCTGCTTCTCTGAAACGATTTGCTGTAAAGGACGCCAAAAAATAGAGCGCATTAAACAGTAGGTATTCGGCATTTTCAGCATCCTTCCCATTTTGGCTAAGAATCACAGGCGAATTCACAATTCGTATAAATCTAGAGCCCATCTAAGCTTAGTATCATCCGATGTAGACGCCAGAGAGTTGCAATTATAATTTAATCTAGATCTAGATTTTTGCAGAGGCTAATGAGGTTCGATATAGAAGAAAGTATGTAAATATAACGAAGCACTAAGCAACTGATTTTCTAGCAAAAGTTCTGGACCCTAATTAGATTATCGACTAGAAATTGAAGATTGTTGTCAATAGCAAGGGCCGAATACTATGAGTCGATGGTCCTGAGAACTAGCATTTAAGAGTATGCCCTAAATAATATTTATCCCGATTGAATTCCGCTAACTACGCTCTTGATGGAATTCTAATAGATTGGAGGTTTTCGTTTAACTTACCTGACCAATAATCAAGCAGGGAGCCATATAAATAAAGGTAAAGTATGTGGTGAGGTGATTGTATAAAGGAGTCAAATATGAAAAATCCATGTACATCTGTTCGGGAAAGGCCCGCACGCTTATTTGGGGAACAAGGAGCGAATAGTTCTTTCTCTGCAGCAACGCCTCATATAGTTTCGCCTGCACAACCAGATAGCCTTCGTAATCGTAGGGGGAGCTCTCGGCGGACTCATAAGTTTTGAAGAACAAGTTAGGCTGCCAACTTCTTATCAAGGTTTTTTTCGATCGAAAATGCAACGGGAATCGCAATGCGATGTTGAACTCCAATGGTAAATCAACAATATTTATAAGATTATCCTCGAACTCAATGCCCACAAAGCCATCTTTATCGTGTAGTGCTTTATCCAAATCAGATGCGTATAAATAAGACTCAATAACTTCCGTGCCCAAACTCGCGGCCACGTCCGTAATGACATCATTAAGGACTTTGTTGCTTGGTGAATAGAATATTGAACTAGGGAAGGAAATTAAACGAATCGGACGATCGAGCAGACGCGCAATGCTTAAATACCTACGATACATTCACCTGCATTATGTCTATGGACCCAAATTTCCTTTCATCAATATTGATTGCGGTGTGAATATTGATGATCTGATCGAGCTGAGTATACATAAAGGTGAATATTGGAAACAATAGTATGAATGCCATTCCAATGGGATGAGCCAAATGGATGCTCAGATTCTTGCAGATTAATAAGCGCAACTTCTTACACGCGCCGTGTTTTTTTACTCGAGGCTCCACAAGCGTTGACATTTTAATTTTGGCTACGCTCTCAGAATTGTTGAAATATAATGCTAGGTTTCAAGTTTTGAAGGCGTTACAAAGTGCCTGTTAGATCTGTTATTGTAAAATTCGTTCACTCTTTCTCTTCAATCACAAACCACTGCACTCGAAATTTAAATATCCGATTTTTTAGGTTTTTTTTTTTTTTTTTCATTTTAATTAGTTTTTTCTTTTGTTTTGTGTATTGTGTATAGAAGAATCATAACCAATAGAAGCGTCAGCCTGTATACAGGGATCGATGCTGCATCAGCCAGCCGCAAGCTTACTTCTTCTTGGACACACCCACGGTACGACCACGACGACCAGTTGTCTTGGTGTGCTGACCACGGACACGCAGGCCCCAGTAGTGACGCAGACCGCGATGCGAGCGGATCTTCTTCAAGCGCTCCAAATCGTCACGCAGCTTGGAATCCAAGTTAGATGAGGTCAGCTGCGAGTATTTGCCATCGATGATGTCCTTCTGTCTGTTGAGGAACCAGTTGGGCACTTTGTATTGCAGAGGATTGGAGATGATGGTGACTACCTTGTCAACCTGTCGAACAACAAATGTAAACAATGTAAATAGATTTGTCTTCCAGCTTCTTATTTTTATATTTACCTCCTCCTCGGTGCATTCACCAGCACGCTTGGTTAGATCCACATCGGCCTTCTTCAACACAATGTTGGAATAGCGACGACCAACACCCTTAATGGCAGTCATTGCGATGCCAACCTTGCGTTTGCCATCAATGTTCGTATTCATGATACGAAGAATGTGCTGGAACTTCTCTGGGATGACGAGCGACTGCAATTCAAAACATATTTGTATTATTCGTGAATTCACTGGTACGGCACAAATCGTAAACAACAAAAGCCGAAATTGCATTTCCGCCCAAATCAGCGCAATTATTTAGACATTTATATATTATTTAACTGCACCATTTTGGCTTCACCGCGTATAGTTTGACGTGCATTTAGTATTATAGCAGACAACTGCAACTTTTGTTGTTTGATTGGGTAGATATTTCATGATTTATATGTAGACGCACCATTTTGCCCTGTTTAAGCGACAACTATTCAGCCGAAAAAGAAAGCGGATGCGCTGCTTCGTTCCACTTTTGACGTTGACAGTTCGAAAAACGGTGTGCAACAACGTTAAAAACTTGATGTTTATGGAATTTTGCAGGGTTACTTTGAACTCGGTAGCCCTGGGAAAAGTGCCGTTACACCGAATAAGTTTCTACTTTAATAATGAGTGGTAAATGTTCTTAAATATTTAAATGTGAGTATAATATTTACATATAAATAATTCTAGCTCTTAGCTGTGTGACAGAGAATGACATTATGGCATTGCGTACTATATGTACGGTAGAGCCTAATCAACAGTACAATATTGAAGAAGTAGATATGTATGGAAATACAGCTTTGCTCAAATCATGCTACCAGGGTAGATTGGAATGTGCACGTACATTGCTAGAGTTCGGTGCAAATATTTACGCCGTCAACTATTTTGGCCAAAATGCGCTAACGCTGGCCAGCTATGCTGGAAACTTGCAGCTAGTACTGGAGTTGCTACATCGCCGCCCATATCAGGACTTTAATTTATCCTCGCTAATACCAGCCGTTTGTGTGGCAGCCATGCGACAGCACAAAGTTTTGGTGGAATATTTTACGACTTTAGATCCCATAGGAACACCAAATTTACGAACTGTGCATGGTAAGTATATATGTAAATTAATTGCAATTTAATTGTTAATTAAAACAAAAATATTACTAGGCCTTGGAATAAATGAATTGGGTCACATGTTAAAACCAAGAAATTTACCGCAGAACAAATTAGTAAACAAATATCATTAAGTGTATGTGACTAAGCGAAATATTTATTTGTAATAAATTAAAACATAGTTTGTAATATTTATCAGGGCTACATTTAATAAACCTTCTTAAATATGTTTGCAAATTGAAGTGATTGGGCAACGCTGTGCCCAGCGCAGGTTGACAGCTGTTCGCGCCAAAATGCGAGTTTTACCGCGGTAGAATTCATTGAATAGGCTCATAGGCAACACGCAGCACCAAGTCGCTCGGCGAAATTTCGAAAACTATCATTCCACAAATATAATTAAAGTTAAATAATCAAAATGTTTGAGGCACGTTTGGGACAAGCCACGATATTGAAGAAAATCTTGGATGCCATCAAAGATTTGCTCAATGAAGGTACTTTTGACTGCAGCGATTCTGGCATACAGGTAAGAGCAGCTACATCCTGTTTAAATCATATATAAGGTATTTATATGTTTCATTTACAGCTCCAGGCCATGGACAACTCCCACGTGTCGCTGGTTTCGTTGACGTTAAGATCAGATGGCTTTGATAAGTTCCGCTGTGATCGTAATCTCTCCATGGGCATGAATCTGGGCAGTATGGCGAAGATCTTGAAGTGCGCTAATAATGAGGATAATGTGACTATGAAGGCACAGGATAATGCCGACACAGTCACCATCATGTTCGAGTCGGCTAATCAAGAAAAAGTCTCCGACTATGAGATGAAACTAATGAATCTCGATCAGGAGCACTTGGGTATTCCAGAAACCGAGTATTCTTGTGTGGTGCGAATGCCCGCAATTGAATTTGCGCGCATTTGTCGTGACTTGGCACAGTTCAGTGAATCCGTTGTCATTTGCTGTACGAAAGAGGGCGTCAAGTTCTCGGCCAGCGGTGATGTTGGAACGGCCAATATTAAGTTGGCTCAAACTGGTTCAGTGGACAAAGAGGAGGAGGCTGTCACCATTGATATGCAGGAACCAGTCACACTAACTTTTGCTTGTCGCTACCTGAACGCCTTCACCAAGGCAACGCCACTCTCCACCCAGGTGCAGCTGTCCATGTGCGCCGATGTGCCGTTGGTGGTTGAATATGCCATCAAGGATCTGGGTCACATACGCTACTATTTGGCGCCAAAGATTGAAGATAACGAGACATAAGGCTGTCGCGCGATATACCCAGAACGTATTCATTTTTACATATTTACATTTACCGCATAATAATTATCTTACATACGACATCTTCTAAGTTTTAAGATCTTTCATTCAGCATTTCCTCGGGTCAATAAAACATATTTCAAAACATAAATTATTCGTTGTTTGGCAATAACCATTTAATATCATAACACTGGGTACATTTAATATCAATAGAGTTGGCATATGGTTAAATTATAGCAGATCGCCTAAATCTGTTGTCGGGAATTAACAGCAACTGAAATTCGTCGAAATAATCATTTGCAAATGATATAAGCTGTCTTCTCTATAAAACTTTGCAAGCTTCCGAATGTCATCAACTTAGGCTAAATACTCGTTCATAACAGGCACATTTTTGAGAGTTTGCATGAGTGTTGTGCGAGTACATTTTTGTTTCTTAGTTAGAAAATATTTTAGAGCGTGTTTACACGCTCTCAATACTTGAACAATTGGCTGTGTAAATCTGGAAGCTTTAGCCTATCTATTATATTAGCTAGAGCTGCCATTACAAAACATATAAAGCTAATCTAATTCTGTTGTTCATAATATCATATATAAAAGTGTATAAAAACATTTGAGATGCGACAAAAGCAAGAATTGTGCGACACAAACAACATGTCCATGTTGCATATAACAAACCGTGTATAAATATTAATATATGAATATAAATATGTATATATATACATATACATATGTATGTATAATTTATGCTTGTAGGGATTAGTACATATTCTTTTTAAGGCGCCGGCGATGCAGCTGAGCACGCACTCGGACTGGAAGTCGCGTCGTATGCGGTGCTATCGTCGTTGTTATCTTTACTTGCCTGGAGCAATGCCTGCAGTGATTTGATGCACAGCTTGGACCCATCCATTGCCTCATTGGACAACTGTAAGTAAGTTTTATTATTAGCTTGTATGAATGAATTCAAAGCAGACAAATTTAGTACCATCGTAAAATTTAGAAAGCCATGGGGCAAGCCTTCAAGTATCTGCAAGTGGACTTGACCACCCAGGCGCTTCAGCTTTTTGGCAAGCATAACGCAATCATCGAGGCAAGGATCCATGTTAAGCGTCTGCAGGAGAAATGAATTAAAGTTAAATTTTAATATGGTTAAATGTATATTTAGTTTCAATCTACACTTACAAGTATGCTGGTCTCGGGTAACTGGGAGAGCCACTCGTCGCTGGCCCAGTATGGGGACAGAAACGGATCTTTGGGCACCTCGAAGGCAAACTCTTCGCTGGGACTGCGGGCAATCAAAGCATCTAAATTGCGAACATCCTGCTGACCAGACGTCGTGCTGCTCTGTATCTCATAGGATTGGGTACAGCGATTAATTATATTATTAACAGCCTCCTGCAAGCGGCCTGGCAGCGTATCCACAATTATCTCACGACCTGTCTCAATTATAATGTTCTCTTCGGAGTTACTCTTGTTGACACCATTGGCCAGTGGCAATGGCGGAGGTGCTGTTGTGTTATCCTCGGTGGCTTCTATGGTAGCCGTATCAATAAGATATTTATCTAGAAAATGGTCAATATAGGCGGCAGATTCGGCATCCTTCGGTACCTCGGCAGAAATGTCAATCGGATAATGTTCGATGGGCTGCGAGTCATCCTCGAACGACACACAGGAGCTATTGTCGCTATTGTCAGTGCTGGGCAAATCTGTGCGCTCCACCGTCTGACTGTGATAGGAGGCGCTGGCAAACGTGTCGCTGCTCTCATCCTCATCCGAGCGATTGAGCGGTTCGAGCGGTGTCAGCGGGCTTTTTGCCGTCGACGTGCGTCGACTGGAGTTCATGCTGTGTGCAAGCTTCTCTACTTCCTCAGCGCGTGCCTGTGCTTCCGCGCTGCTCTTTTCTTCTAGCTCCTCCAAATGCTTTTCTTGCATTTTTTCATTAGACGGCGCCGCGTAGGCGCGCAAGCAGCGCATCATAAAGCCGAATGGCAGCAACGGATCCATTAGACACAACAG